CACACACACACACACACACACACACACACACACACCCATCCATTCTCAGAGCATGTGAATCTTTCACCTCCTCTGCTCCACAGCCCTCCCCACCTTGTCTTTTGGCCCCCACATTCTGCTTTTGCCTCATCTGAGAAATTGTTTTAATTTGAATCCTCCTCACTCCAAATTGGAACAAGGAAGAAACACCAGGGTACAGGAAGTCTAATGGCTTCCTCCACTCAGGGAGAGAAAGGATTGAGTCAATCTCATCAGAATTCAAGCTGTGATGATCCCAAAGGCGTTCCTGAAATCAGCTGCAATAGGGAGACTCAGCGTTCTGCAGCACTGGTTCCTAGTCAATCCTGTTGGACGAGTAGTTTCGTCACAAAAACATCCCCCATTCTTTCTGCCCAACTGGGGCAGCAGCCCTCTCTTGACCAAGGCAGGGAAGGAGGCCAAACCAAGCTAGGCAGCAATTCAAAAAGAGAGTGAATTATGTCGCCATTTTTTTCAATGCTAAACTCAAGGGTGGAGAAAGATTCTGCAGAGATTTAGGAAACTAGGCTTCTCAGGAACTGTAAAATTAGCATTCGAAAGAAACCTGGGCAGCAAGGTGGGTCCAAACCCATTAGGGTTTCTCTAATTGATATAAACAAGCCCCAGGGAGATGATACACCCTTTAAATGGGAGGGAGAGGCAAGAGTGAGAAATCGAGGAGCACAAAAACATTTTGATTTAGGCAACGTCCAAAGCAACCGAAATGGTCACTTACATCCAGTATGATCTCTTTAGCTGCTTCCCCTGAGCAAGACAGCCCATAGGTGGGCACCGTAGAAGGAAAACCAAGAGGCAGCCAGACTTCCACTGCTAACCAAAACAGGCTGACAGCCACTACTTCTACTCTTCCTTTCAATAGTAAGCCAACCTGGCTATTAATCTGACAAATAAAACACACATCACAGAGTGTCATGTATGCAGCAGGAGGGTGAACAGCAGAGGACACAAACATGCCTGCACTCCTAAAGAAAAACTTCACCAGGTTTAGTGGACAGCAAGTGAGAAGACACGCTTCTTAACAACGCCATGATAATTCCCTCCTGCTGTAGGGAGCGAACGTGGACACCCCACCTCTCCAGACATCCTGGGACTGCAGCACAGCCAAAGGCCGCTTTGAGCAGAGCCAGCCGCCACCGGATGAAACGGAGCCTTGGAAGAGTCAGGGCAGAGAAGAGGAGTTCTTTCCCCACGCTACGCATAATCCGACTTTGGCTCTTAGCCTTGATGGCAGCGGAACGGCCCCTACCCCGGGAGACAAGTGGGCCTCCTTGTGCAGTTGGTGGGCCACTGTGACAATAAACTGCTGGACTAGATGGGCCAGGGGTCCAACCCAGCGGTGCACTGCTTATGTGCTTTTAATTAACATTTTGGCTCTCTCCCTTTTTAGCTCCCTCTCAGTTCAAGAGACATAACGAGCAGTGATTACACTGGGCCTCCTCCCTGGTTTCTTGGGGAGGCATGGCAATGCTGCATACTCATAAAAAGTGCCTGACAAAACACCATCATAATGATGCAGAAGAAAACCATTTACTAATATTCACCTCAAGACCTCTAGAGAAACGTTTGGGGACCACAAACCACCTTGGTAGGGGACAGACCTGGAGGGAAAATCATGCCTAAATAGTTTATATACTGGAGTCCTGAATTATGCATGTGCAAATCAAACGGATTTTATATAAACCAGCCTGGTAAGAACTTTCACAGCGCTGGCTCATCTGTAAGGAGAATCCTGTTCCTACACTGTCTAACTTTAAAGCATACTGAGGTAGTGTTAATACTCCTCCTCCACTCCTTATAGTTTCCCATCGGTACTTTGATTTCTGGTGGGCGATAGTACTGAGGCAAGTCTTCTCAAATTTCTGAGCACTGAGGTGAGAGCACTGCAGCACAAACAGCTTCAACTCCTGACCTTCCAGGGAGATCGGCTGCACAGCACAATTTGTCCAACAAAAGTGACAAGGCAAAACACCACCATAAATGAGCTGCACTGGCTGACATTTTCACTTCCAACCACAACCTAAAAAACCGACTTCCATGCAAAGATATAGATCAATTTATTTTATCACAATGGAAGGTGAAGAAGAGGAAATTTTCTTCATGAACAAAAGGAAGTGTGGGATGTCTTATCATTGCAATATATTTCAGTACTCTGCCAGAGCTTAGCTTAACTACAAAAAAAGATGAAAAGCCCTCAAATGCAACGTAGAGCATGCCTCAAAACCCCCTTCTGCCATTTCCAAAGGAACTACTCATAGAAATCCAAAAGTCTGGATTGCAGGGATGTTTGAATCTGAGACCTCAAACCACTTCAGCTGGAAACTGGTGGAACTAAAGCTACAATGTCAGTGGAAATGGCACAGCTCAAAGTAAGAACGGCAAGGACAGACAAACCGGAACTCACAGCAATTCTGGTATATTGCAATTACTTGCAAAGCAGGCCAGGAAGACTGGCTTGAAAAGCAAACGGCTCCTTTCCTGAAGAGGTAGGAATGGTACCTTAGTAGGGTTGATACAGAAAAGAAGTCCACACAGTAAGAGCATGGCATGCTAGTAAAGTCAGCAGCGCCACGGCCTTGCTACTTCCATGACCCTGGATGCCCAGGCCGCTAGTGGCAACAGTGGCGCCCAACTCCACAAACAGCACCGAGGCCACTTTGCAATACACTCAAGAATCAACAAGTAGGGTCTCTTCTGCATGTGAACTGGTGGCCCGCAAAGGTTAGCAGAAGCATCAGATGCCTTTAACAAGGCTTTAGGTGTCCACCACCTCAAATACACAGCTGGTTCTTGAGATGTTGCACCACAGTATAAAATATATCTATGCTACATCTGCAACCGCGTTCACAGACATTCATGCTCAGTCTGCATTAGATTGTTTTGTTCCAACTCCCTTCTATGTTTTGACATCTCTGCTTTAACATGTCTTCTGGCAATATTCAAGTTGCTGATTGTAACCTCCAAAGCCCTACATGGCATAGGGCCTGGTTACTTGCGGAACGGCCCGTCTCCCACAGCAACTGGTTGATTGATCCGGCAGGGCTGATGTGCTCCGAGGATCCTTTGATCATGCAATGCCATCTATTGGGAGCCCAGAAGTGCACCTCCTCTGTGGCCGCGCCTGCCCTTTGGAATGAGGTTCCCCCCAGATCTGGATGGCTCCACCCTGCTGGTATTTCAGAGAGCCCTGAAGGCGATTTAAGTCCCTTCTGGGTAATGGGGTTTGCTTTCGCTGCGGTCCGTCTTTTGTTCTTTGCTTTTATCGTTCTGTGCATTTTTATCTGTGAACCACCCAGAATAACTGAGAGTTGGGCAGTGTAAAAAAATAAACAAATAAAACAAAATAAAAACGTGTGCTTTAAAGTTGAGGGATGGTCAGTCAGATGTTTCTGCTCCAGAAAGCAAGAAAGCACCTCCTTCTTGTATTCTGAGGATGAGGCTCAGTCGGAAGCCAGGGCAAGGCAGGAATACGAGCCACAGAAAGCCCTGCTGAGTCCTCTGCCTCCTTTCGTGCTGGCTCGGCTTCCAGGGGTTGCAAAAAGGTGCTAAAACCCATGTAGGTAAAAAGGCAAACTGTCTTGCCATAACCTTAAAAAGAGAGTTTCCTGCGGCTGATGGGGGACGTAAGGAGCCATGCCATGGCAGGTCAAACTATGGCTCCATCTAATGCAGGCCTAGCTACGCTGACTCTCACTGGCGCTGCAGAGTTTCAGCAACAACAGGCGTCTCCCGTCACACGCTACCTGTTCCTTCTGAGGATGGGATGCAAGGCCCTTTGCCTGCAGCGCACAGCTCAGCCCTCCTCAGTGGGGGCTCTGCAAAGGTGTCCCACTCCAACTTATCAGGAAGGTAGGAGGCCCTTGTGCTGCTTGACGCTTCCAGAGAGAGCAGAGATCTGGGGCTCAGTGCAGCACGAGCCAAACCTTGTGTCTGGGTGAACTCCTTCTTCAAGCCCATTATTATTTGGATTGTGCATCTGGCCCAAAGCTTAATAATCAAATTCAAGATAGTCCACAAACTTTCAAACCTATACTTGTGGCTTCTTCCTGCTTTCTTCTCAGTTGAAGAACCACTTACTGGATTAAAGGTTTGAAGCATTTTATTAGCTGGCCCAGTAAGGTATAATTTCACGTACTCCGCTCCTCTTGTTCTGTGGCACCAATGCCCTCAGAAGTGAGGCACAGACATTCTCACTGCTTGATATCCATCACTAACAAAGTCTGGGAAATAATCAGAGCATGATTATGAGTATGTAATCCATACTGACACACAGGCTGTAGAGGGGTCTCATTTGTTTGAACTCTGCCCATAAACTATCCAGCACCACCCTTTTTACCAAATGGAGGGAGTGAATTTGGAAGGAAAACAAGAAAAGAGAAGGTTCCCAGATTCTGGCCTTTTCTAACAAAAAGTTTTATACGGGAATGAAATGGCCGACGTTCATGATCTATGTCCCAGGACCAAATCCAGTCCTACAGTACCATCAGAAGCTCTCATTCTTCAGTTGCTGGTCTGTATGGTAGAAACCGCAATGAACACCACTGAAATGCTCAACTTTGCACACTTAATCCCCATAAAAGAAGCTGTTGATCAACAGCAAACATGCATGCGTACTGTGGTAACTGGACACTCACAAGCATCCAAAGCAAAGTCAAACTCTGATGCACATTAAGCCAACAGGCCAATAAGTTTACTTTGCATATCATCATCTATTCTTATTAGACACTGAGAGAAGGAGCTATTTTAAACTTCTCAAATTTCTGAAACAGAACCTAATCAATGGGCCTCAAATTCTGCCACATTCGAAATTCAGTGAATAGAATGACAGGTAGTCAGATCCATCAGCTGCCTGACAAGTACTTCTAGGGCAAAGAACATCAAGAAGCAGACAAACTTTATCAATAATCCCTTTCTTTGTTGCTAGTAATTTACCATTTATTTAGTCAAATGAAGAATTACGTACCGCCCACTATCACGGCACAGCCCTTTGGTTTCTTGGATTGCTCAGTTAAGGAGAAGGAAAGCTTTTCCAATGGACTAAGCAACCATTCCCTCCTCCCATCTCTGGTCTGCACTGGTCCAGTTGGCAAAGACACAGAAGAGCAGGAGCTCCCACAAAACGGATGGGGAGCGAAGCTTGCAAACGACTGTTTTGTAGACAGCGCCAACTTGATCTCCAAGGGCTGAGCTTGCATTTCTTGGGAGCCCTCTTGCCTTCTGTTGTGTTCAGCTTTTTCCACGCCCTTCCAATCACCCGAGCCACGCTTGCCAGACAGAGGAACAAAAGCCACGTCTCCAGTATTCAAACAAACCTCAGCCTGAGAGCCACTGCACAGATAACCCTCCAGCAAAACCATCTCCAGGCTTAAGTCTGCTTTTCTCTCTGAAGCGTGAGAGGAAGTTGATACATTAATGGATTCAGACAACAGGGCATACAAATACAAAAGTTGTACTGGGATGAAGGAGCATCACCTCCCCTTTCAGGCTTTAGACAATTGCCAAAAACACCTTCTGCAGGGACAGAATCCAACTGTAGATCCAAAGAAAGCCAAGAACCCACTCAACCAACCTTTTCCAGGCAGACAACAGGAGCAAAACCCAGGTTACGGTGTTTGAGGCTCTGAAGACAGCAGCTAGAAAGCAATCTCTGCCCCAACAAATCCTTTTTTTTCTGGTGGCAATAATAATGGAAGCGGTAAGCACAAAGTAGGTGAGGAAGAAGTTACGCCTAAAAGGATCCTGACAAACCCAGCAAACAGGACTCTCAAAATCAATGCTAGAAAAAGCTGTGAAGATGGATTTGGAGACTTACAAGCCCACTCGTCTTCGGGAGACCTCATCTTGGCCCAGCCTGCCTTTGCTCACAGGCTGCGACAGCTAAAAGGAAGTACCTTAGCACATCACCTCCTATTTATGACTTTTTGGCCCATCCTCTCTTTAATTAAATGGTGCTGCTGGCTCCCTCCCTTTGCCTCAGTCCATTGGCTGGGGGAAGTTCTCCACCTTTCTGGCTATGGAGCACAAACTCTGGCAGGCCTTCCCCAGTTACTCCCAGAGGACCAAAAGCTCACAATTAGAGAATGTGTTTGCTCTAGTGACCAAGTTTTCCAGACTCAGTTTCAACCACAAAGAACACAATGTAAGACCTCCTTCCAGTTGTGTGTTCTGTGGATATGGGTGTGTGTGTATCCATGTATCCATCTCCTCCTTTCCCTCAGACATCCCTGCAACGCAAAGGGCTTCTGCATTACTGATGTGGCAGCCATGAGCCACTGAATTAATATTCAGAATCAATGTTGCATATAACCTTTACTCCACAAAACATAAAGCCCTTTACTTCAGAGAGCCCAACAATAAAAAATACTCCTGGTTTTCAAAACCACCATCTGTACAAGCCTTGTTGGCAAATTTAACAACAACCCATAAAGTGCTTGAGCATCATTGTACAAGAAGACAAGAGATTCTTCTTCAAAGCTCTGCTTCCCCTTGGAATTCAGCACAGGCTGAATCTTTACGGAGGCCCATTTCAAATACTCCTATCCTCTTTATACCAAGACCACAAATCTTCTTCCTCAGCTGACAATTAAAATCTATTTTGTGAGCCACGAGTTAGTGGACTCATGAGTGTCCATGACCAAGGAAAAATTAACAGTTGCACAGAAATGGTGCAGATCACCCCTCTTGCCAGGAACTGCTATCAGCATCCCGACAAAGCTACTTGAACGATGTGTACGCTCATACCAAAACAGCAAGCAGTATCCGATCACAAAAGGGTTAACCTGTTCTGTATAAAGGCAAAGCCTCCTTTGGGTTGAGGTCAACTCCTGGTGACTTTACAGAAATGATCATGCATGGACCACAAGAATCCTACCCAACCCTGTTATTGCTCATAAACCTAATTATACACATTTTCCTTGGGCTGCATGTACACAGTTTTATATCCAGTAGAGGAGATATACTACTTACCTGGCTCACCTGTGGTAAGGGTGGGCTTTAATGATATAAAAAGAACCGCTGCCCTTGAGTACATTAGTAATTTCACACCACATGCACAGAATCACTCATGCATGTTAGCTAAACAAAGGTAAACTTGTACTACAAAGAGAAAAGAAACCTTCAGCTGCTCTTGCTCTAGGAAAAATATGTAAAATATGAGCGAAAGGACAAAGAGAAGCCTATCAGGTATTTGTTTTCCCATCATGCTGATCAGCACAATCTTTGGGATACATCTGCCCATCACTTAGATTTTCCCCCTGCTCTAGCCACCGGGTAGGAGGTTCATGGAGAGTTATGGGAGAATACCATGCGGTGGGTCACCATGTAACAACCACAACCAAAGTCCCAGCACAGACTGGTACCTACTGACTGCCACTGGTGGATCACAGACTCAGTCACAGAAGACATTCCCATGTGCACAGACAGGAAGAACAAAACTCAACCCACATGGCCATCACAGCCATTCTTTCTATGCTGTCTGCTCTTTGAAAAAAGTGACTATGCTTGAATTCCTGTCCACTTGCTTCCCATGACTCTTTATGAAAAGCACTGAATTGCAGGCAGACAGCACTGAAGTTCTGCAATGAGTGGCGAAATATTTGAGGCTGGAAGAGCAATGGGGAAACAAAAGAAGGAATCTTTCAGTACATGCCAGTAAGTGAATTCTCCCCAAACCAAGGACATTTCCAATATGTACAATTTGTGCTTAAGGAAAAATTTCCCAAATCTGGGCAGACAGTTCCAAAGACAAAGGAAGCTACAGAGAAATATCTACAGGAGATTCAAAAGTTCAAGTCCTCCTAGACCAAGACCAAAGCCACTGGAATTCAAAAATGCATGTTACAATCCTGAGAATCATTCAAGCTCAGTTATCCAACTCCAAATTAGAGCATGTCAGAGAAAGATTACTAAAATGTAATAGTAAAGCACAAGTGAATAAAGCATACTGTATTAGCATATAGGGAAAATACTGGTGGCTAAAGTGAGTGCCGAGAGGACCCAACTCCAGTCAATTATTGGACTATACGGGGGATGATTTCTCCTGACTCAAACGACTGGCCTTGTTTCATCCTCCATGTGTTGCTGCAGTTATTTCTACAGTCCAATTAAGTGTTCCTTGTAATTCCGATCAGATTCATCCCCGCAGTGACACAGTTGGTGGCCCCTTAATTATCTGTATTTCCATTCTTCATCCTCTGTGCCAAAGGTTGCAAGAATGATGGGTTTCTTCTTCAGCAAAATTAGTCTGAGTTAATAGTGTGTGGGGGGGGGAATTGACCCCCAACCCTACACCACATCAAAGAAGTTGACTTTGAGACCTGCATAATTTTCTTTCTTGGAACACTTCATAGAGAAGGTTGGATGCAAGACTATCAGACAGAAGGAAGTGGGGTAGAACAACAATGCAAGAGCAATTCCCCCTCTGACTGAAAGGGAAGTTGGGCCATCCACCTGGTAGCTCAGTCCTGGAAGACTCAATCCTCATCTATGTACTTACTTGTTTTCTTACGTACCTACTTCAGAACCTACTCTGTATCTACTGATCTCTGAGCAGGATGCAATCAAGGAAGCAAAATAGTAAGGCAAGCAGTAAAACTGACCAGGACTAAAACTCAAAAGGAGCTGTTGTCACTGAGCCCCAGCTCTCACTGGAAATGATGCCAATTCGTGTTAGCCGGGCCTGCTAGCCTTGGAATGCCCCAGCAAAGGCAGTAATGCTCCGAGTAAGGGGACACAGAGCAAAGCCCTCTCAGCAGATCTTAATATCCGAAGACATTTCTCTTAGTTTTGGAATACTGTAGAACAGTGTTCCTCAACCTTGGCAACTCGAAGGTGTCTGGACTTCAACTCCCAGAATTCTGCTGGCTGGGGAATTCTGGGAGTTGAAGTCCAGACACCTTCGAGTTGCCAAGGTTGAGGAACACTGCTGTAGAGCATGCTGCTGCCTTTGCGCTTTCAATCAGAACATGCCAATACTGAGTTCCCTACTCATAATATATTATTCTCCCCTATTGGGTGCCGGGGAGACGGGGAACAAGGCAAACAACAGGGATCAATTCATGTAAAATATAATTCTGTTTTGCTGAAGTATTTGCCAAAAAAAGCTGCTATTTCATGGCATCAGTCTTGTTTTGTTGCGCACACAGTGGAGGGATACTGCAAGAGTCCTATCCCCCCACCCCCAACAGCAACCCAAAAGAGCAGCGACATGATCAAACAAAAGTCCACAATCCTGAAGAGGCTCGGAAAGATCATCCCACAGCCTTGGGACAACCGAAGCAGGAGGACCTGCCTTCTGTCTTGTGCCTAACCATAGGAAGGAGCTGTTACTTAATCCCCGTCCACTGGGAAGGCCCTGCAGACTGGGCATGAGAGGAGGACAACCGCTCTGCTCCAGCACGTCCCAGCTGCTTTTAACAGCCTAGAGGCCAGTGCTAGAAAATTTGTCACTGGGCCTAAAGACACTCCTTTCAAACAAGAGCCCACGTCTTTTCCCCGTCATCTCAGCAGAGGAGCCTATTTGTACGCTGAGCAGAAGAGGAGGCTGAACCGTCCCATCCCACCCTGGCTGGTCGTAGCCAGCAGCCTTTCCCTGGGTCAAATTCCCCTTATCAGCCTGCCTCGTTTGATTAGTCAGCCATAACCAACACTTTTTCGCAGACTTGGATAAACAGAAGAGCAGAGCACACCCACATCCACCAGTATACACCCAGCAGTTAAGATCTTGCCACTGGCTGGAAGTATAACCACCACCTTACCAAAAAAAAAAAAAAAAAAATGTAATGAGCAGAAGACTGACAAAACTTGTTTTTTTCAAGATCAGACATAAACTGGTTTGATTGTGTGTGTGTGTGTGTGTGTGTGTGTGTTAAGGAAGTCGGAACTCTTGTCTAATAGAATGGACAAATAATTAAGCTGAAGTCAAGACACGTGATACATGAAAATAAGTCTTATGAACGCCAAAGGCACCCCTGCAGCTCATACAAGCTTAGCATCTCAAAAGAACATTGGGTTTTGCTTGTGACCAGCTCTCCAACCTCCAGCCAGCAGCGGCACACAGAATCCAACCACCGTCCACCACCGCATCTAACTGGGGCACCTGCTTGCCATTTTCAGCAGGCCAAACCACGTGCCCTGCCGCCGAGCAACAGGCCTTCCTCTGCAGGGGCTGTGTATAAATTCTCCAATATTGGGAAAAGGAATGAGAAGAGCATATGATCAAGTCATTCGCTGGATAAGGTGCACAGAAGTTGAGCAAGGCTTATTTGACTGATCCTTGCAACCCTCTCCTGTGAAGGGGCAGCAGCACTGCAACGTTCAACAGACACCCCTTTCGTCCCTCAGAAGACATCACTCTAGCAAAAATGCCTGTCTTACTGTTCCAGCCTCATTAAGTTGATTAATCTTCCTCCTCTCTGCTCCTCTCCTCTCTGCTTCACGCACAGAAACCCAACACGTTGGGCTGATCATGTCTGAACCGCACTTTGGAACATGTATTCTGCAGAGAGCCAGATAGAACCCAATCCTCCAGTCAACATTAAAGGTTTTCTAGTACTGTAGTAATACAGAGCCATTAAAGCCTTCAGCTAGTTGCCTCCCAGCCTGGTGCTCCGAATGAAAATTCCATCTGAGGCCTCCTCCAGGGCAGTGCCCTGGGTGCTCCATTGTCCCGGGGGGGGGGGGGGGAGAAGGCAAGGGAAGATTCAGCCCTTGGTAGGCAGGAAACAAAAACTGCAAATTAAATATAAATAGCTAGGGCACAAAACAATCATCATCTTGCAATTTAAGGATCTGCAAAGCCATTTTTACCTCATGAGCTGTGGAAAACATTCCTAGCATGAAATTTAAAGGCTTAGGAACTGTGGACTCTCTTGTTTTCTTTTGCTAAATCCTGGGGGCTTTTCAGTTTTCTCTCCTAACCAGAGCTGCGCCTCGCCCTGCCCTCAACCCTTACTCACTTAGGCACAGCATC